TTTATACAATAGAATTTCGACCCTGGATATTATAACTTATATCATAAAAATTGATCGAAGTTATTAATATAATATACGTGTTCAATTGTTTTGTTACAACATCATTATTAATTTATTCAAGAAGGTAAAAATATCATACAAAATTGTGAATCCTTAATAATTGTCTTTATACAAATAAAAAAAAAAAACAAGTACAGTTCAAATTCAAACCAAGCACTATATTAATCAGTACATTCCCAACAAGTTTTGTTTGAATCTATGGAGTATAAATATTTTACGTATAAGGGACAGAGGTAATTATTTGCAAATTATTAAAAAATATAGTAACATCTACAAATTTAGGTAATAAATAATTTTTTAAATGTTTATATTTTCGAGAAAATTAGTGTCTTTTAACGGCTCTCGTCCATTTCAGGACTAAAATGTAATAGCACTTTTAATTGACCAATTGAATTTGACATTGTTCTAAGTGGGTATGGACTGACAGGGAACTATTTTTAATCAGACTCAATTCATCTGTGGTAAAGTCAAGGCTGTGTGTCAAATTGTTGTTGTGTAAAATTGAAATGGTAGAGATAAAATAGCGATATTTTGCTGAGCAATTTTATACTCCAGGTCAAGTATATTTGCCATTAAACTATTATAGTATTGTATACAAAATTAGATCCGAGCTACAGTATTATAGTTTTTTCAATGTATGTTATTTTTTAATCGAAAAGCAAATTGGTATAGGATTTTTATTTTTTTACAATTCGAATTAAAATACGTCGTTCTGCACAACAATTTCGTATAGTTCTACTCTGACCATGTTAAAATAGCTGAACCAACAATTTCTGTTGAATGACTTTTTCAAAACTATTCAAATCTAAACAATACAACACAGTTAAAGGCACAGAATTAGTAATCTGTACAGAGTGATTAATTGAGACAATGCGCTGATTTCTACTTAAAATGATTTGATTTTTACCACACTGTGATTGTAAAACAATATGCAACACAATACTTTCTGTCAACCGTACTGTAAGGCCTTCCATCGTAGTAAAAAAAATAATAATAATATTTATACTACTTCGTTATTTTTTTTTTTTATAGTATAAAAATGTCTAAATCATATGTTGCCTCGCTAGAAAATATTCAAAATAAAATATGAGCAACACGAATGTGAATAAAGATAATTTTTAAATTGTAATTGAATGTAAAAAGTTAACATGATACGTACGTTAACGTTTAAGTTTTAAAATTTATAAGAGTTCTTGACAAAAGTAGAAAGTATAACACAATTTGAATATTGTCTATATATATATTGTAAGATAACATAAACTGAGCAATCTCCAAATAGAAAAACACTACCAAATTTCAATAATTATCTTAAGAGAAAACGCAGTGTCTTATTCTTAATGAATAACTATGTATGTATTATACATAATAATATTATTGTACATTGACGTTTTTTAAGCCTCCAACTCGTCGCTCGATTTTCAATAGTCATCGATTGTCGTTTATTGGTATTGTACTATGTAAATATTACATTAATGTTTTGTTGCCGTTATTGCCAACGTTGGACTACTCAAGTTATACACAATCGACTTACAACGGGGCATTAGAGCTAATGGAGGTTTTTTTTACTTTTTTTTTTATGGAGACGTCGTTTCCGATTTTATGGAAGGTAGTAAATACGCTAGTTTTCGTTTAATGCCATCCGAAGAACACACGGCTTAATCCGCGTTTTAATGATTAGTAAACAAGGGACAATAATAATAAAAAAAATTTAAAAAAACTCTGCACAACATACACCGTCGGCGGAATGGTCGTGAAAAAACAATATAATATAATTATTACCAAAACAATATAATATAATTATTACCAAAATGTTTTAAAAAAAAAATCCACGTCGTCTTTTGACTGTTCCTTCGATCGGTCGTAAGACCAACGTCAACAGTACACATTAAAGGCGTCGTAAAAGAAAAACAAATAATTACTCAAGACGGTTGTTAACTACTGTCCCGCTTTCTGTAAAAACACCCGGATAAATGATCAACGAAGATCTAGTACGACGTTATAAATTATTATTGTTGTTCGACCATTTTTGGCTTTGCGTCGTGGCCGATGTGGACGTTTTTGGATTTTTGGAAAATGATTTGAAATGTATCATTTATTAAAATTGCAATTAATTCAACAAGTTATACATAAATATTTTTACCGAATTGTTTTGAGCCATGTGAACATCACAAGAGTTGTTGCTGTCGGCAGGATTGGCTGTCGATAAGAGTGTACCGCGTAGAAAGTTTAAAACGAAGCCAAAAAAAATGTATCTATAAAATATTATTATTAATCACGAAAAAACTAAAGAATAATAATTTATGCCACCTGCGTTACACCTGCCGCCATCAGCTTGCCCGCCGACAGAGAGTGCATCCACAACAGGTGATTTTAATGTGCCAGGAATGTAAGCCGGGTCTCCTTTTTTTTCACCGGTCTAGATTATAAAATCCTATTCATTTTGTCAACACCAAAAAGTGTGAACTGCTATATTTGAAAAAAATTAATTCAAAATCGCATTGAAAATTTCTATCTATGTAGTTTGTAGTGCAAAACTTTATTTAATACATAAAATTGGTTTTTTATTGTAAAAAATACAACTTTTTAGTACTGTTAATACTTTTGACAATTAACCAATAACTACCAATTACTAAATACACTTAGCATTTACATGACATCATTTTATTATGTGATAAGTACCGAATAAATTTAGAGTAGTGGTGGAATTATAGATAATGAAATAGTGTATTAACAAGCAGTAACAAGCTAGTATCTAAGGTGACTAGTAGACATATCAAGTTTCTGGCTAATATTTTAGTGGTTACATAATATTTGGCCCTAAACAATTCATAGGAAATACGACCAGTTAAATTACATTGAATTTATTTTTTATTATTGGATAATTTGGGCCCTTAAACTATTTTGAATTTATCATTTAGTTCTAATTTGAACGTTGAACGTACAAATATCTCTTATCTCTCATCTCCTATATCTTACCCCCATTCTCACTCCAACCCCATTTCCACCCTCACCCCTAACCCCATTTCCATCCCCCATCTAACCTAAAGAAGTCGAATATTGCAAATGTATAATTTATTGCAAGCAATTTTACAAAAAGGATGATCAATTTAACGTAAGAAAATCATTTTCTCGGATTATAAAAAAAAAACAGTTTTATAGTTTTTCTTTCTGGAAATGTTTAAATGACAAATGTTTATATTATTGTAAAATTACAATTAAACAATTTACACCCTTTTGGCTGTCACTACTCCGCATGTGGGTACATCACATAATATGTCAAAATATATCATATATTATGTGATCGATATGATTTTTCAAACATAATTTTTAAACAGTTTGAAGTGTTTGAAATGTGTCAAATTCGTTCACTTAAAACTCTTACTGTTGGTTAAAAAATAAACTTTAAAAATTGGTATTCACAAATTTAAACGAGTATAGAGTGTATAGATTTTTTATAATTTCTTTCAAGTAAAATTCTAAGTAAAAAACAGTTATTTTTTAATTTTTTGGACTAAACCTATTTCGCGAATAATCGCGATTGGGTTATTATAATTTTAAGAGCATATCGGTTAGCAAACATTTATCATTGTTGTTGCCGGTTTATCGGTTTAAGTCTCTCGGATCCTTGTGACTAATATTTATGGCGGTAAATAAAGGTGTTGTAAGTATGTAATACACATGGTATATATATATAATATTATCTTATATTATCCGTACAGAACCGAGATTCACACGTCGACGGGTCACCTCGTACATTATACAACGCTGTAATTTAGCCATAAATTTGGATCAGGAATGACATTTTTTTTTTTTTTTTTTGAGCATCGATTCGTTATCTCTCGTTGCGTGCAAACCGTGTAAAAGATAGCTGATTGCCACCAGAAGTACATTGTGGAGGATCTCCGGACGCATCTCCGGTGGCGCCTGTCGGTGCAATAAATAACATTGTATGCTACACCACCTTTGGTACCTAATATCTATTGTATCTTTTGGCTGCCGACACCGTTGTTCTTTGCTGGGCGCACCAGATTTACAAATAACGATTATACAAATATATATATATATATATATTATTATTATAATATTATAGGTAGACGCCAATGACAATTACAATAGTAATAAGAAAAAAAAAAAAAATAGTAACAGGTTGTTATTTATCTGCAGGGATGGCATGTGCTATAGATTGCCACAGTGGTCTGAAAATATGAAAAATAGATATTATGCTAAAAAATAACTATAGCGAATGTTCAAAAAAATCAACTCGTCAATATGTTATTATGTTTACTAGTGTAAATATAAAATTCCAGTTTAATGACGGTTTTTTTTCAACTGGTGAAGCATAGTGATTTAAATGTTGGTTATTCTGTTTTTTCATAAATGACGATGATAAAACTTCTTTATTTTTTTCGGTCATTGAAATATAAATAAAATAAAATAAAAAGACAAACCGATTTACTGTTATGTCACATACTAAGTTCTTGACGGGTATGAAACATGGGAAATTTAATATTTCTGGGTTAAATCTATTCAACTTTGCACTACATCCAATATAACAGCCATTTTCTCAGCTATAAATGTGTCGTTCATTGTAAAAGTGAATTATCTTCTTGTAATTCAATTTTGTAATAACGAGCTTTTTGTAAATTAATGTGTATGAAAAACAATACAAATTCAGTGTTTTCTATTTTTTGTTTGTTTATTTTTGCATTTTATTGGAGTTGACTAAATGTGACTCTATTACGCAAAAATATGTATATTTTAAACATTTAGAGTTACACCACTTTTACAATAAACAACCTTAATATACAATAGCTATAGAATAAATGTAATTATTTTGCCAAATTAACCAACTGCAATATAGGCCTATTGACCGTTAAATAAATTACAATTATTGATCTTTAAAACTCATAATAGACGTATAAACTGATTATTGTGTAATATATTTATGCTTTAGATTTACAAGTTTATTTGATCATAGATGTCTTTTTATAATTTATTTTTGTGTGGACCCACGATACCTTCCAAGTCGCTTAACCAATTTCTTCGTGTACCAACTCAATAGATCAGTAATCGTACCTGAAAGGTACATTATTAGACCTAAAATTGAAAAAGTTCAGTAGGCTAGCGATAGGTAAGTTAAGTTTTAAATTTAATTAATACCTACGTTAATAGGTTTTTTGACTTGAGTCATTTTTGCGTTCCAGCCTCCAAGACGTATTATAAGACATATTAATGATCCAATGTCTCTCCTTCAAGTGAAAGACTAACCCTTTTTCATAATATTTTCAATGAACGACTGTAATGCAAATTTCCGAATGTACACATATAAAGTTTCATTACGTTGCTTTTTTTTAAATTAAATTTCTATTTCTATAATCGAAAACATAATAATAATATTATATTGTTGAAGTTTTTTTGGCATAGCTTTAGTTGGCTGTGATTCCAGTGCAAAAAAAAAATGTTATAAATTGTATTTTTGCCATTTACATTATATTCTCAGACCATTGCGGAGGGGATCGGGAGAAGGGGAGAGGGTATACGAATACAGAAAAATATGTGCGGCATACCGTGTGTGCATGTTAAATAGTATGCAGTTACATGTATATTGTGGTTACCTATTGTGATGTATCTACCGTTCTGATCTATCCCTAGGGAATACCCATACCTGACCGAGGATGGCCGACGAGGGCATTCCGGTTGTACGGACAAAAGAAATACCGTTCATGAGATTTTCATTTTTTTCCCCGTTCCATTATAATAAATCAATAAATTAAACAAATAACGCCGCGAAGGGTTTAAACACTTTAAACGCCTAAAGCGCGTTCGCACGTATAGGCAAGTGCATTTTTTTATTTATTTGGTTTTTTTTTTTACACACAAAAAATAGTTATTTATCGCCGTACCGGCGACTCGACAAATTGTGTACACACGTTCAACATTGCTGTTATTGTTTTATGTATGTATATATGTTTTGTTATTGCAAAACGGTATGAAAAATAATATCAAAAAATTATGTAGGCACATTATTAAAACAAAAAAACAATGGCAGTCGTGAAAAAAAAATAAACAAAAAAAAGACACGTTTTATACGAACAACAATTATTATTGTGGCGATGAATTATAACGTTGAGATTCACTTGTGGATTTTTATTGGAGGCGAATGATTTTTCGTTACCGATAAAATACTTTCACATAGGTTTTAGTTTTTTTTTTTTGATAAAAACCGTCGGATCGACTTGAAAAAAAGTTTATTTGCTACATTTTTTCGGTTTTGTTTTTCGACAACTGCTTGCTGTACTTACTTTTTAAGTATCTAATGAAATGTTAAATCTCGACTTCCAAAAGTTGTACTCGACTTTTCTATGAGATTTCATTTATTTTGTTTTTATGGAGATCCTAGTTTGAAATTTACACACGTGAAATTTTCTCAGCTTTCTGAAAAAAAATATTCGAACAATTTGAGAACATTCTTTTCGTCGTAAAAGACACGCACGACAAAAAAAGGAGACATTGTAGCAAGGAGATTGTGACCAAATCTGGACGTTGACGTTTCTAAAAAAAAGTTCAGACCTTTTACAAACTCTGAAAGCTCCGTCGGAATTTCTGTAAAAATTATAAACTTTACTGAAGCCTGAACAAAGCTCAGAAGTATTTGAACTTCCCTAGCCTCCCCTCCCCCCTCTACCCCTCTAGTCGCCAATGGAGAGGGGATTTTGTCGGTAGAGGGAGAGTAAATAGAGACGATGATACTTGTATATTCCTGTGTTATACGGCGCACGTATGCTGTACACTTAAATGACCTTTGAACGATCCCAATCTACTCTGGCGCGATCAAGGTAAATCAGCGGGTGTCGCGTTTCGGTACTGTACTTCGGGCTAAACAAAATCCTTAATTGTCGTTGGATATCGTATCCTATAATATATATATATGTACCTAATAATAATACATTATTGTTATTATATTAGGACCGACGTCTCTGTTACGCCGAAACGTCGACGGGCGTCCGATAATTATTATTTAAAGGGAACAGACGGTGAAATCTATACTTGAATTTATTGCCAAAAGGACCGGTAACCGGCGATGGCCGTAGCGCGGAGTAGAATAATTCGTTTTATGTTCACACCGTGTCGTATAATAGATTTTATCCGAATGATTTGTAACGGCCGAATCTAAATTATTATTTTAGACGGTCATTAGCGTGAAAAAATAATCATATACACAGGGCGCTATTGGTTAGCTACGACCCAGGCGACGATATCTCCGAAGAAGTAAAACTTTTTAAAAATATTATACTATGTATTATAGGTCAATAAGTAGTCCAGTTTTGATACGTTTTTCAAAAAAATATGTGTCCATCCTTAACGATAACTTATGTATTTGATGTATTATAATTTATTAAGAATAATTTGCTGACCATTTTTGACCGGTCAAGTTATTGAGATACAACGTTTGGAGGACGGGAGCAACAAAGATGGAAAGTATTATTGTCCTAAACTGGTCGTCGACCGGTCAACGTTTCCAGCAAATTCTTATTATTTTTTTTTTTGTTTTAATTAAAAAAGATAATTAAATAAAAACGTTACTATATTTTAATTTTCAAAACTCGACAGGGTTTTAGAAAAAAAAAAAAAAATTCAATATTATCTAATATACCCTGTACATTGTAAATTTTATCCAAATGATTCGAGCCGGCTGAATCTAAAAATAATTATTAGGCACTATCGACGTATAATAATTGACGTTTTTATTGTAATATATCTATAATAAATATTTTTTTTTTTTTTTTGGTGCCATGCCAAACCACTGCGGTCAATGATTATATTATGCACAAAATGTGCGACCACCGGGTCTGAAGTGAAACATCATAAATAATTATATCTAACGTTCATATGATAATATTATTGTTTTAATATTATTTTAAAGATTGCAACGATACCGATGTAAATGCAACCTACAACACGCTAACTGCATAGTCTCTCAATTTAATATTGCGGTTCGACTTCGGTTCTATTCAAAAGTCCAATGAATGTATTAATAACTATAGCTAGCTTGTGTATGTATTTGAAGTGAATTATTTTCTAGCACCCCCCCCCCCTCTGCCCTCTTTTTATTTCTAGATCCGTCCCTGCCGAGTGATGACGGCAAACTACACAGATCCGGTTGATGGGCGGCAAAATAGAATATGTCGCACCGTGTTTTGATCGACGGTCATAAATCTTATAGGTCACACACTGCCAGCCCGTGTAAGAGGTATGTACGATAAAATAAAACACATACCTAGCTATGATGGATAATCGATTTGTCATGCACAACGGGAGCTTCTCATATCCTTCTCCGGGGCTTGTGAATACATTTACATTATTATCATCTTACACGACGTCACTGTTGTAAACTAATTTAATTTCATAACTAGCCGGCCAAAAGTCCCGGATCGAGTGTAGATGATATTATGTGTGTGTGTGTGTGTGCATACCTCGTATCTGAGAATATTAATGAAATTATTAACAAAAAAATACATATTTTGTATATTATTATACTCAAATAACCGCGGTCTGATCGTACAAGAGGACATATTATAATACCCGACCGCGGACCACCTATAGAAGAAAAACTACCGGTGCGTGCCAATTTGTCACGGTGCCCGCTGAGATTGGGACATTTCTTTTAAACACCATCATTCGGTCGTATTTCACCGATATTATAATATTATGCATTTCGACGGTTGACTAGGATAAAAAAATATATTTTGGTTTTAAATGGTTTGGGACGTTATCCGGACTACGATCGGCCCCGCAGACGGACAGGGTGGGCCTTTACACAATAATAATAATGATATATTAAATGATATATTACTTTTGGATGTTTTTATCAAACGTTATTTGTCAATGAGATATTTCTTCAATAGGTATGCGTTTTTGTTTTGTTATTTGTTTTATCAAATTTGAGATTAAATATTGAATAAAAGTCACACAAATTATAAGAATACGTTACATAAATACAATATTCATATTTTAATCTCTTGTGATTATGTTTAAAAGCATAAATTATGTATAAAAAACCTTTTTGAATTTCATAATTTCATTGATTATCTTTTTTATTTCCAAACATTTCTGTAGAAACTCTTAATATTGGTTTTCATCGTGACATGGTTTACATTTTCACCATAAGGCGTTAAATATTTTAAAAACCTATTCACGAGCACCCTGTTAGGATAGCTGGACAATTGGGTTAATTGAAAATAGCGATATTTCAGTAAAATAACTACAAGAAAAACTACCGAAAAGGAACAGTAGTCCATATAAATTATTGTAATTATATCTGCAGATTTAGAGCTTTAAATCATTAGGTTAAATTTTTTACCAAGTTAATTACAAACAAAATCAAACTGTACCACTTAAATAACCAACAATATTATTATAAATGTGAAATATTGGTTTTTTATTAATTATTTCACTTTTTGGCCCTACTGCCTTACATATATAAGCATCCGGATAATTAGATAACAGTATTATCATTTTTCAACGCGCTATCGCTATCGCGCATTGAAGTTATTTAATTTTTACGTTCAATTAAGTGTAATTAATGTGTTAATTTTTATCTTCATATTAAAATGTATAATGGGTGAACACAGAGTTCAAATTCATAAGGTGTTTCGGAATAAAGAAAATGAATATTTTCAATATTGCTAAATAAAACGAAATACTGTGAATTGACAAAAAATCGTATAACGGTGAAATATTTAATTTGTTTTATTTAATTATTTTACCAGACAAAAAACGAAAAAACGAAAAAAAAACAAAAATTGAAATATTTCACCGTTTTCGAAATGTCCGGAAATTGTATATTTCATGAAATTTTCAAACACTACACGCTGATGAGACGACGGGTAATCGTTTCGAAATTCGCCGACCTGGCGTAACCCTTTTGCGGTGCAGCTGCTCCAAGGACAGTTTTCGTGTCATCTTTTCGTCGGTGGCAAACACAAGGCGACGGGCCTGTGCAATAGTAATAATAATGACATGTGCCGGACGCGTGCAACCGGTTTGTCGGTCGCGTGCCGACATGTGTTCCGGAAGCCGAACACCGCATAAGCGCGGCCATAATATAATAGACAAAAATGAAAATACTAATGTACACATAAATTGTACCATAAATACCTGTACACGGGCACATATCGTCGTTGTTTGACGAGCACACGTTTGTGTGCATACCATTGTGTACGACCCGGTCGCGTAGTCGACACCTACTTCCGTGGATCCACCACGTGCGCCCTCCCCGTTCTGTATTATCGCCCCCCCCCCAAAAAGGGCAGCTGGTCAGGGTCGAAGAGCACCTGGACCAGTCGCAAGTAGAACGCCACTCGGGAGCAAAGCTGCAAACACACCTGGACGAGGCGATCACCGTTGCCTACCGTTTTGGCAACCAGAAATCCTCATACGGAGTGGTCCATCCGATGCGAGACACTTGTAGGTACATATTATACACTGTATTATATTCCTCAATAGCTATAGTATTTTCCTAAGAAAACTGTTCCTATTGTTTACTATTCCTTTGCAATACATCACTACCGGAAAACTCTTTGGACTTTGCTACTTTTGTAAAATACAGCTCGTAATCCACCAATATCTGACCACAATGTAAATTTATAGTCTGAAATCACAAAATATTGCACAATTTTGAAATAACCAAATTATTACAATTTTGAGTTTTTATTAATAACTACGTCATATCAATTGTACATTCTTAGTAAAAATTATTAATATTTTTAAAAATAAACTTTAATATCTATCATATTTAAAAAAAAAATTTTTGTACGCGAACAAAGTTTATAAGCTATGACCCTTTAGTTAAAAAAATATAAAGTAATTTATAGTTGTACAAATAACGAACTTTATTTTTCAATATTTATTGAACAATTTACTTAATAAGTTTATTGGATATTTGTCTATTGTTTAATACTTGATCCTATCGTTTACAGTTCTTCAAGACTGGGAGGTTCCATCTGTATGTTGATTGGCTCTGCTACTTCTTCGATGATATCTTTTGCACCTTTCAAGTTTATGGCCTCTTATGCAGATGAAACTGTAATACTTTCCCCAGGAAATGCCACTGAAGTAACTTCCAATATTCTTTAAACACACTTAAATCTAATTGTTGACTGGTCATCCGAATGTAGAGTTAACATTAATCCTGAAAAATCAGTATACGGCCCTTTCACGCTGAAAAATCCGATCGATCCCCTCCCCAATTGCAAGGATTACCTATCCCGATATCTTCGATAACTTTAGGCCTTCACATAAAATCTAAAAGAAAAGTCCTAACAGCAGACTCCATTTACTAGGCCCAATCCTTAAATCAAAAATCCTTGCTTTCCATGCTAAGATCATAATATACAAATCCCTATTTGGACCTATGCAATCCAAATTTGGGGATGTGCAAAACTATCACAACTTCGTACCTCACAAGCCATCAAATCCAACACTCTACTTATAATCTCTTCCGTCCCATTGTATGTATCCAATTATACACTTCAATACGACTTTAAAATAGAATCATTAAACCAATTAGCCTCAAATACTACCAAAAATTCCATTCCAAATTACAAACTCACTCAAACCCTTTAATATCACAGCTTGCAGAAATCGCACTCGCCGACTCCAAAGATGTTGGTGTCGAGATCTATTTATCTAACAATGATTAATTTCATCTAATTAAAAATAATTAGGAAAAAATCACGTTGGGTTTTATCACTGGATGGCCTACCTCCTCGTATTATATCAACGTTTTATTTTTTCTGTATACATAATAATGTAAATATTTTCTTAAAATAGCATAGACAGTAAATTATCTTTAAATAGAAAAAAAAAATGCGATGATAAATCCAGACATAATATAAATGGTTTACAATTTAAAAAAAACCGTAACAAGCGTAAATTTGTAGATTTTAATATTACCAAATGTTTTTTGTAAGGTAATTGAATTTAATAAATGCCGTTTAGAAGTCTTGCAACTGTTTTTAATTATTTGTATAATGCGTACGTGTTCATTTATTATTTGTAAGTAGATTTAAAAATAATTTAAACTTAAGTCGTTACATTAAAAAAACGCTATGGATTGTAAGGCACTTGTATACACAAACAATTATAACTACACCTTAATTTTTCAGTATGTTGAGAAATAATCATTAGATTATTACATTACATACTAATAGTAATATTATATTTCGAAGTATGTTTTTAATACTTTTTATCATAGACGAAACCGGAAAATGTTTTACAAGCATTTAATCTAAATAGGTACATTACAATTATTGGATAGTTGTGTGCGTTAATAAATAATCATAACTGAGAAGGAATTTAATCAATTTAATTTTCAAACAAAATAAAGTTCCAAAACTTCTGTTTACGATTTAGACATATTTCGTTCAATTCATTTGTACCTCTTTAAAGAAATTATAAATTACTTATATCATATATATGTACCTAATTAATAATAAAAATTAACAAGTTAAAAGTTCTAAACATTTAATATGAATTTAACGAAATTTTAGCATGCAAAAATTGGTCTCTAGTTAACTTTTGTTTATAAATTCTTATTATCGATAACTGGAAAGTGTTCAGTGAAAGGTTTGGGGTGTACACCGGTTCATTTATTATTTTTTGGGACGGTAGTTAACACCTATTGCAGTTTTAAAAGAATATATTATCGAAATATCTCCGTGGTAAAAACCTAAAATAGGATGACTGATTAGAGAATATTATCTACTTAAAACGCGAAATTGTAACACGAATTTTGTATTTGTAATTTTGGAAGACGCCCAGCCCAAAAACATATCAATGTTAATATATTTTGAAAAATAATAATGTTATTGGGTACAATGCTTTTATTTTATTGATATTTGTACTTCTACGGTTACAGATTCACATCACAGCATATATTTGAAAGTGATGTGTACAACTGTGATCCTGTAATGTACTTCTTGCCTCAACTACAATGTAGTAGCTTATTTATACTTAAAATCGCACAAATTTACTCTAATATCGTTGCCTTGACATGTTTTTTTCGCTATATTGTCAGCACTCGTTCATACAACTTGATAATGTATTGAAATTCGAAGGTTATCATAAATCATAGGTCGACAATATCCACCCACCAGACATACTACTTTAGGGTTTGCTTCACAAATATTTAAATACATTTTTTTCCAATACTATTTTGATTATACATAAAATCAATTGTATAAATAACGCGTAAAAATGATTTACGCAAAACGATTTTAATGTGTGCTATGTCTGTAATTTGTACAATTCATTTTAAATTGAATATGTTATATTTTATAAATATACAACGTGTGCATGGTGAGTCAGAGTATACATTTTGGAAAAACTATTACAACAAAGAAATGAGTCATCGATATTACCATTTTTTAAAAAACCGTACATCAATTGTTTAACTAAAAAAATCACCTAGTAAAGTCTAGGCACATTGGTGTCAAAGCTTCTAAGATATGGATTGGTTAAAAGTGTTCAGGAATAAATTATTTTATTTGAAAAATACTCCGTTCCTACTATGTCTCAATTCCACTGTACTGGCTAGTATTAGTAAAAATATTTGCAATTTACACTTGAATTACTAAATAATTACTAATAATATTTTCATGAGTCTTAGAAAGAATGAATATTAACATAATATATAAAATATATATTTAAAAAAAAACGTTTAGTTAAGATATTTTTGATTTTATTTATATTTATAAAATATGTGACTTACAGTTTCAGTTTTAAACATATTATCACTTTTAGTAAAAACATTAATTTGCGAAGAAATTATTGAAAATAAAAACAGTTTTTTTTTTTAACATTTACCCGCTCTCTAAAATTGTATACACAACCAGAGTAACTTCTTCGACTTAGTGAAAAATGGGACAATTTTTTGTATTTTATCCACATTTCGACTATTGTATGGCAATCCAAATCAGGTTAATTTTGGTTTCTTAAAATCATTGATTTGGCTTGACAAAATGTATTATAATATTTTTATTAATAATATTATGTTAGGTTTTATTATACATCATAACTCTATTATATTATATTATATCATATCGTTTATAAGGACCAATCGTACTTTTAGTGACATTTGACAAATCTGTTTTGAGTTTGTTGTATGTATTTATCTACCTACTATTTAAACTTTTTTATGTTGTGTCTTGGAAGTGTAACTTTCCTACAAAATATAAATTATACTTATACTTAAATGTTTACTGCAATTGCTCAATTATATCAAAAAAGTCTACTCGTTTCTTTAATTATAGTGTCACTTGAACGGCATTGCGCCAAAATAGAATCGACAAAAGATTTTGAAAAAATGATTAGAATTTTGCTTAGTTTTTCGTTTCAAAATAAGCAAATTTATAATAGTCAATTTATGAATGACTTCATTATTTAATTATACTTAAATGAATAAAATAAATTCTAACAAAATTATAGAGCAAAATGATTTATTGTTTAAACAAAACTACATTTGTATATGACTAACTACATACATAACCATATTTATTTAATAAAATATTAACATATTTAATAATATTAACATATTTATTTATTTTATAATTAAAACAAACTATTTAGGAAAATAATAACCAATGACGATGAATTCAACTTCATTCCTAGTAAACTTGACGTGTTCTGAAACTATAAAATATTATACATTTTTTAACAAACGAATCAGGTCATTTTAACAGCAACTCAGTTAATAGACATGCGATACACTTGCAACATTTTATTATTTTAAACTATATCAAGCGGAGAATAATAATGTGAAATAAAATTTTACATTATTCGTTAAGTCTAAAAATACCTATCATGTATTCTACATATTTTTTTTTATTTATTTTGTACACCAACAATAAATTATGATTTTTTAGTTTAAAAAATAATTATAATTTACATGAGTACAAATCACAAACTTCAATACCAAAATGTTTTTTTAATGATTTTGATCATTTTACTCATTATTCATTTTTTTTCATAATAACCTTTATTGGATATTATAATGGCTTAACAATTGCATATTTGTTATTAATTTAATCATTCATTTAATTTGATTATTTTAATAAATACAACGTTTATTACTTGAATTTTCCCATTTGTACGGTATTGCCGTTTTCGATTCTTCAAGATATGGAAATTCGGCAGTCCTATTTGGATTACTTACCTGTATTTGGCTAAGTAGATCTTTTAATTCTGGATAGTTTATCACTGGCTTTTCATACATACAGTATAGTAGTCTTACCCATGCCTATTGTTTTTAAAGTATAAAATAGACATTAGAATGTTTTCAAAAAGTGTAACAAAAAATTGTCCATTACGTTAAGAATAAACTAATGTAGGGTTTTCGACAAATCACTAGGTACTCAATCTTGCAAATAAATTTAAATTTTCTTTAGCGAATTGAAAATGTCAATCCACTAGACATATTTGTTTAGGGGATTTTTTGGCATAATATCATCGATGTCATAGCATTTAATCTCACTTATGTGGAAGATGAATATTTGTTATTTAAACTCTTCTTTCTGATTCAAAAACAGATTCTTCTTTAGCGACATACAAATGCCTAACCACCAGCATTTTTTTAGCATAATCAATATATCTTTTTTATAGCGTTTGAAGCATTTTTTTCTAATGAGGAAAAACAATAATTTTTTTTTCTAATTTCTCCCCTTCTGGGGAAAAATCTGTAAGAATTCGTTCAAAATGTGTTATTGTATTTGTTATTTAAATACATAATAAACGTATTAGTTTGCTATGGATTTTTCAAGCATAAGATTAATCCTCTAAACAATAATTTACATTTTGTACAAATCAGCAAGAATTAATCTTACAAGATTAATTTAAATGTAATTTATGTTATAGAATAGTTAAAACGAAATATTTCGAGTGACCGGCATAGACAACCTTACTAACTTATCTGTAATATAGGTTTTTATTTACCGATAATCCCTGACTTAATTCCGCATAACCTAAGTATTTAGCGACGTATCTTTGAACTTCCACCAATGTGTATTTATAGTCTGAAATCACAAAATAATGCACATTTTTATGAAACAACAAAATAGGACAATGATTTTACCTTGAATAAATTGAAAATAATTATGTGTAAAATTATAATAATAATAATAATAATATGATATTATATATTACAATTTTATCTAAATTTAACATTTTTTTTTTTGTTGAAAAACTTGAGTTTATAACTTACATTTGTACAACCGTCAAGATAAGTTCTCCTATTTTTTAAACTTTATAACTGGTTTTTGAGTTAATATTATTTGGTAAAATATATAAAATAATTTTGAGCTATACAAATGATAAACTTCATTGTTAAAAAAATGTCTTTTCAGTTTTTCTTGAACAATTTACTCAATAATTTGTTTATTACTTAATCCTGTCGTTTGCAATTGTTCAAGACTGGGAGGTTCTTTGCGTATGTTCATTCGCTGTGCTACTTTTACAAAGATATCTTTTAGACCTTTCAAGTTTATGGTCCGATCGCCATTTTCTTCGACGTCTGTGCCATATGGATTTTCATATGCCTCTATAATGTTTTTAGTAGTTTCCTATCGTTTTCAGAATAAAAATTAGACGTTAATTGTGCATTTAAATTTACATATAAAAATCAAAAACATTTTTTTCAGCATAACAACAATTATTTTATTGTAGTTATAGCATTTTTTCTTATTGTTATCATGTATTTTTAAAAGTGTAAATGTCACTTAAATAAACTCTTCGGTGTGATAATGGGTAAGGTTAAAATATTAAATACATTTTTTGAACAATACAATACATTCTGTTTATAATTAACCAAGAATCGCAGAAGTTGCTATTAATCGTAATTACTTAGCGCTCGTTATACTTACATATTGTTCTTGAGTTGGAGGAGTACCACGACATTGCAAAAAGTATAATGCCACGCAAAATAATAGTATGGCATTTTTCGAATACATTTTAAATATTCAAACAGTATACTTGGATCAGAATATTTGAAGTGAAAACTAATTTGAAACTACTCGTTATTCGTATTTACGGTCCTTTATATAGTAATTGAACGAAAATATAACATTATTTAATTAACATTAATCAAACCGAAAATTAAAAATAGTATCATATTCTAACTATGATTTATTATATCAACCTTTTTTTCATTATAATAAAAAACACCCACACAAAACACGTGCTCAAACAAATGCTCTCTTTGTATACACACGTTTTTTTTTTAAATTATAAAATCTATACTTAAGTACATTAAGTGTACGTGATAACTATAAGTAGAAGTTATTGTCTTGGTCTTTCACAAGAGGGTTTGGATGGTTTTACAGAGAGTTGTGATAACGACTGTAGTAATCATTGACAACTTGGGTTATAGTTTTCATTTGTAGATCTGACTGTAAAGTATATGGTTGGAGATCCTTATATCTCCGTGGGTTCGTGGTGTCAAATCTTATGAGTGACGGGAAGGTTAAAGGTGTTGAGGAGTAAACTATTCCACTTTGTAAAGATGGGTCCATTTTATTTATATTTCATCCACGATTTATCAAACTTAAATAAACTCAAACAAAATAAAACAGCAGAATGATTTATTATTTAATCAAAACTACATTTGTACATGACAAACGACATACATAAACATATTGGTTTAATAAAAGTTCATAACTATATCTATCTATCCAGAAAACAAATAATCAATGACGATGGATTCAACTTCCTTCCTAGTAAATTTGTATTCTGAAAGTATAAATTATTTTTATATATTATGTATATATTTAAAAAAAAAAACGAATCAGGACAATTTAACAGCAAATGTGTTATTTGAGATGCGATACAGTTGCAAAATATTTGTATACCTAGTTATTATAAGTGAAGAATAATAGCTTACATTTTACATTATTAGTAAAGTTTAAGAAATTTAAAAAAAGCTCATGTTTTCTATTTATTTTTACAACAAAAATGGTTCAATATTTTGCCTGTTATAAAAATTATATTTTTTTAGTAAAAGAATAATTATAATTTACAGCCATACAAATGACAAAAGGCAATACTAACATATTTTTTTAATGGTTTCAATAATTATACTCAACACGTTTATTGATTATAATTATATTTTTGTATTACCTAAGTTTGCCATTTTATACGGTATTGCAGTTTTCGGTTCATCAATATATCGAAATTCGGCAACTAAATTCGCATATGCCTCCTGTATCTCGCCAAGAAGTACACTTAAGTCTTCAAAGTTTATACCATTTGGCTTTTCACAAAAAAAGAATAGCAGTTCTACTATTGCCTATTGTTTCCAGAATAAAAACAACACATTAGAATATTTTCTAAAAGAGTAACAACAAAGGGTCAATTATTTTAAGTATAAACTAGTGTAATTAGATGTAATTACTGTAAAATTAGTCGGTAGGTATTTAAGGTATTAGTCGGTAGGAAATTAAATATAAATTTTCTTAAGCGAAATAAAACTGTCTATCTACCAGACATATGTGCATTGGGGATTTGTTTGGCATAATAACCTTAATAGCATTTTTACTGAAATACAGATTTTTATTTACTTACAATTACTTCCGGTCTCAACACCGTTAATCCTGAGTAGTTTTCGACGTAATATTTAACATCGCTCAATGTGAATTTATAGTCTGAAATCACAAAAAATTGCACATTTTTTAAATAACCAAATTAGTACTATTTTAACTCTAAGAAATTAAGAATAATAATTATGTGTAACATTAAAATAATAATAATTTGATACTATATAGTTTTATCAAAATGTATAAATTTTTAAAAAAGTTAATCATGTATCTCATTATCTTTTTTTTTTTGTACACCATCAAAAAAATGTCCTCTTAATTTCTAATGTTTTTATCTGGTTATTGAGTTAAGATTTTTTGTTCAAAAATATAAAATAATTTACAGCTATACAAATGATAAATTAAAATGTCTTATCAATGTATTTTGAACAAATAACTCAATACATTTGTTGGACATTTTTCTATTTTTTATTACTTGATAATGACGTTTGCAATTCAACAAGACTGGGAGGTGCTTTGTGTATGTTGAGGCGCTCTGCTACTTCTTTAATGATATCTTTTACACCATTCAAGTTTATGGTTAGATCATCATTTTCTTCAATGTTTATGCCATTTGGCTCTCCATATTCCTTGACAATGTTTTTAATAGTTTCCTATTGTTTTTTGAAACATAATATAACGTTAAAATGTAAATTATAAATTACACATAAAAATCAAAACGCTTAACTACCAGACATTTAATATGTTTTGAGGATTTTTTAGCGTAGTAACATTAATTCAATAGTAGTTAAGGCATTTTTTCTTATTGCTATTATGTATTGTTTATAAGTAAAAAACTTACTTAAATAAACTCTTCGGTGTGAAAAATAGATAAATAGTTAAAACATTAAATAAATTATCTAAACTATATTATATTCATTTGGCACATAATAAAGCAAGAACTGCAGAATTTTCTATAAATCGTATAAATTGATAACACCTGCTCGATATACTTACAAGTTCTTCAGGGGTTGGGTAAGCACCGTGACATTGCAAAAAGTATAATGCCACGCTGAGAAACAGTATAATATTTTTCAAATACATGTTAGTTTTTAAGACAATAAATTCGGATTTACAATATTTAATTATTAGGTTTGAAGTGAAAACTAATTTGAAACTACTCGTTATTCGTATTTATGGCCCTTTATATAATATTTCAACGAGTTTATTAATATTATTTGATCACATTAGTTAAACTAAAATAAAATAAGTATTAACTATCTACGATTTATAATTTTTATTTTTTTTATAATACAAAACACTAGCTTGCTCTCTTTGTATATAATACACATAAAATAAATAAATATATATATATATATATTTATATACACATGTATGTATAAATATATATAGCAACGTCATGTTGAATATACAATACACAAAATAATGTGGACAATTGCAATGTGAAATTTTTTTTGCTTAAAAAAATATGTTTCCGCAACAAAACTTCATTATTTTAACATTTTAATAGTTGAAAAGAAGTGCAAACAATTCTCTGAGGTGTAGGTTAGGTTAGGTTAAAAGTCTGCTAAAATCAAAGTAGAGGTTGAGAAAGTGCTAGACTTAGACGTTGTGGTCCGAGTGGCTGCTAGACGCATTATTATGAAGATCCTCGGTATCGGTGGCTTGGACAACAGAGACGATATCAGATTTGCTATAGGGCATCTGTAAAGAAAGATTTAGCAAAGATGAAGGAACGGTACGATAGCTCGTGCCCTCTTTCGGAGGTGCTTTTTTAATTTATCAAAACTACATTGGTATGTGACAAACTACATACATACATAATATATATAATTAAAAAATACAAATTAGATAAAAAAAATCCATGATAGAAGTAATCAATTACGATGAATGTAACTTCCTTCTTAGTAAACTGTTGTATTCTGAAAGTAAAAATTGTTTAACAATTTGGGTCAATTTAACAGCAAATGAGTTATTTGAGATGCGATACACTTGCTAAATATTTTTTTTTTCAATTTATTATAAGTGAAGAATATTAATGTAAATTTAAGTTTTAACCAATTAATAAAGATTAAAATTTTTTTTAAAAAAAACTGATCATGTCACACATGATTTTCTTTATTTTCTACAACGAAAATTGTCCAGCATTTTGTCGGGTCTTAAAATTTTTAGTGTAAAAAATAATTATTTCCAAAAATACAAATGACAAACTCCATTACTATAATGTTTTACATTCAGACTTATTTTATGGATATTAATTATATTGTTTATTGCCTAATCTTGCCATTTTGTATGGTATTGCCGTTTTCGGTTCATTAGGATATGGATATTCGTCAATCGTATTATTACTACCGACTCGTACACGTCCAAGTAGTTCTTCTAATTGTTGAAAGTTTATGCCATTTGGCCGGAAAAACGACTTGAACAGGAAACTGACCAACCTCTATTATTTTTAGAACAAAAAATAGACATTAACTTGCTTCCAATAACAGTAATGACCAATTGTCTAGGGTAGAGAGTTAAAAAAAAAATTAACTAAAAAAAATGTTCAAGCATAACCCTAATTCTCCAAACAATAGTTTACATTTTGTTCAAATCAACAAGAATCTTAAAAGATAAATTTAAACATAATTTATGTTGAATAGTTGAAAATAGAATTTTGGAATATTTCGAGTGTCAACATAATATAATTTAACTAGCATTGTACTATAATTTTTTATTTACCGTCATATGCTTAGGTATTCCCTATAATGTAAGTATTTACAAACGTATCTTTCAACTTCCAACAATGTATATGTATATGACCTGAAATTACAAAATATTGCACATTTTTATTAAATAACCAAATAGGACAATGATTTTACCTTGTGTGAATTGAAAATAATATTGTTTAACATTATAATAATAACAGCGTGATATTATATTGGCATATCTAACATTTTTCCCGTTTTTCTAGGGCCAGTCCTAAGTCTATATTTTAGGGTCACCCAATCCTTTCGGGGTATTTGGAACCCTAAACAATTACGATTAACAAATACTTACAACGTGTTTTCATTGACAAGCCGATTTAATTCAATTTTAGATTAATATGTAATCAAAATGTTATCCGACACTACTAAAATCGATTTCGTTATAACTTGTGTTTGTAAACTGTTTCAACGTTTAAAACGGTGATACTTTTCTTACAAAGTAGGTAATCAGTCAATTTGCTTGTTATTATTTGCTTTAGATAACTACTAGAAATTGTGAAATATTTTATTTGCTTACGAAGTACAGTTTAAATCAAACCGCACAATATGCAATTTCAGAAAAAAAATTTTAGTATTTACAATCAACTTATGACAATAATCTGTGTATCGTACTAATTCTGTATTAATGCATTTATGTTTTATTATTTGAAAGACATCTAAAGAGAACCCATAACAATAGTAAATCATTTAATTTATTTTACTCTTGCGGCATGATTACCGTTACCAACTTTTACTTTAATATGACTTAAAGTTTGAACGTGTTATCAAAAAATAGTATAGCAACCTACTTTGAAATTAATTTATTAAAGTATAATATTTATAAGTACCTATCTAGATAATCACTACTTTGTTAGCGTTACATAGATTTTTAAGTATTGTGTTGAACATATAAATAATAAATAATATTTTCTTTTTTGTAACTATAACGCGTAACTTTTGAATGCTTTGATAACTCTTTCAAAGTATATCCTTTAAATATTATAATGAAGAATTTTGTCTTCGATATTACCATTTTTTTTAACTTACACCAGTTGTTTTATTTAAAAAAATGTCAAATAAATGCTAACAAAAAATAAAAGCAAAATTTGTTTTTATTTCATCAAAACTACATATGTATGTAACAAACTAAATACACAAACATATAAAATCAAAAAATAATAATTTCATCAATAACATCCAGGAAAGAAATAATCAGTTAAATGAATTTAATAATGAATTTAACTTCTCTCTTAATAAACTTGTATTCTGAAAGTAAAAATTATTATACATTTTCAAACGAATCCAGTCAATTTAAAAGAATGAATTGAATTTAATTTGACTGGATTCGTTTAAAAATGTATAATAATTTTTACTTTCAGAATACAAGTTTACTAAGGGAGAAGTATACTTTATATGCTTTTACCATATGACTTATTTGAGATGCGATACAATCGCTAAATATTTCTTTTTTAAATTATTTTAAGTGTAGAATAATGTTGTAAGTTTAGTTTTTTTTATCTATAAGTAGTTTAAAAAAAAAAAATTAACTTAAAAAAATTATCTTAAGAAATAAGTAATGTCTGAGGACATAGTTGTCAAATTTTATAAGAGACAGGATAGTTAAAGGTGTTCAGGTATAAAATATTTTACTTTGTAAATGATGCGACTAGTTTTTGAATATGTCATCTAAGATTTGTCAAACTTAAATAAATGCTAAAAAAATATAATAGCACAATGATTTATTATTTCATCAAAACTACATTTCTATGTGACAAAGTACATATATAATTAAAAAATAATAAATAAATCAATATACTCCGGGAAAGAAAAAATTTACAACCATGAATATAACTTCTTTCTTTGTAAACTTGTACTCTGAAAGTAAAAAATATTATACTTTTTTAAACAAACGAATCAGATGAAATTAACAGCAAATGAGTTATTTGAGATGCGATAAACTTAAATTACACTTTGGTATAAATATTTTTATTTCAAATTTTTAGAAGTGAAGAAAAAGAATGCAAATGTTATGTTTAACCTATTAGTAAAGTTAAAACAATTTAAAAAAAACTTATCATATTGTACCCCATATGTTTTAATTTATTTTCTACACCAATAGTTGTTCAATACTTTGTCTAGTCCGAGGATTAGGATTTTTTTTATTTAAAAAAATAAATATAATTTTCAGAAAAATAAATGACCAACTCCATTACTCAAAACTTTTTTTTAATAATTTTGATTATTTTATCGAAACATTAATCGATTATAATTATACTGTTTATTACCTGCTCTTGCCGTTTTGTACGGTATTGCAGTTTTCGGTTCATCACCAAATACATATTCGGCAATCGTATTATCATAACCCTCTCGTAAACGTCTAAGTATGTCTTCTAATTGATGAAAGCATATGCCATCTGGCCGGTCGAACGATCCGTACAGAAAACTTACCGTCATCTATTGTTTTTAGAATAAAAATTATATACTAGAATGTTATCAATAAAAGTATGAACAAATTGTCTAGTGTGAGGCATCAAAAAATTCACTTATATTCAAAATATTCAAGCATTACATTAATTCTACAAACAATTATTTATATTTTGTTAAAATCAGCAAGAATCTTACAAGATGAATTTCAAACTATTTTATGTGGAATAGTTGAAACATGGAATATATCGAGTTTCCTAAACATACAACATAACTAGCATTGTAATGACATTTTTTATTTACCCTCATATGCGAAGGTACAACACCATCATAACCTAAGTATTTACAAACGTGTCTATCAACTTCCCATGATGTGTACCTATAACCTGAAATCACAAAATATAGCACATTTTTTTAATAACCAAATAAGACAATGATTTTGCCTCGAATTAATTGAAAATAATAATGCGTAACATTACAATAATAATTTGATATTATATCGTACAGTTTTATCAAAATATATAATATTTTAATAAAAACATTAATTTTGATCTAACATTTTGCTAAAAAGCTGTTTGAGTTTTTTTGTTAAAAAATATAAATTTATTTACACCTATACAAATGACAAACTTGATTACTTGGTTAAATTAATTTCCAATACTTTTTGAATAATTCACTTATTATATTTATTGGATATTTGTCTATTGTTTATTACTTGATCCTATAGTTTCCAGTTCTTCAATTCTAGGAGGTTCTATCTGTATGCTGAGTCGCTGTGCTACTTGTTCAATCACATCTTTGACACCATTTAAGTTTATGGTCGGTTCTCTATTTGCTTCAACGACTATGCCTTCTGGTTTGGCATAACTATTGACTATGTTTTTAATAGTTCTCTATTGATTTCAGGAAAGAAATGAGACGTTAAAATGTGTATTACAATTTACACATAAAAACTACCAGACATAATATATGCTTTAAGGATTTTTCCAGCGTATTTGCATAAAATTCATAGTATTTAAGGCATTTTTTTATATTGTTATCGTATTATATTCTTTTTAATTCTAAAAATCATTTAAATAAACTCTTCGGCGCGTACTCTGGTAAGGTTAAATATTTTAAATATTTTATTTAAAATTATAACATAAATATATTAAATACATGTATTATTATTGCACATAATTAGTCGAGTATCATAATTAATAAGCGCTCGTTATACTTACCTGACGTTGTTTAGTTAGGCGAACACCCTGACATTGCAAAAAGTATAACGTTACGCAAAAAAACAGTATTACAATTTTCGAGTACATTTTAAATTTGGAGCAGATTAACATAAGAAGTGAAAACTAATTTGAAACTATTCGAAATTCGTATTTACGGCCATTTATATGATATTTGAACGAGAATATAATATCATTTTAATCAACATTAATCAAATTAAAAAAAAAAGAAGTAAACACTAACAATGATTTATTATATTCATTTTTTTTTTTTAACACAAAACCCCTGAACAAAAATCAGCAAGTGTTTAGCTTGCTGGGCATGCGTAAAGTTATAACGTATGACATGTCTACACACGTGCCCAAACAACCGCTCGCTCTCTTTATAAATACAAAGTATATAGACTATAGTGTACACAATTGTAATATTAAATATTAGTTTTGATAAAAAAAAAATATGTTTTGGCCACAAAACCTTTATTATTATTACGTTTTAGAAGTGGAAACGAAATGCAAACAATTCTGTGGGGTATAGTTAGGAGGCTGCCAAGTTTAATGTAGAAAGTGCTAAGTTAGACTCGAACCTGTTTAGGTAATAACCGCGGCCGGACGCCTCACAGTGGTCTGAAATAAAAATAACTTATCCAATAGCTTCCAATTCAAATGAAAAACAAACCCCGTGTTATCCAATACGACTAATATTAATGTTTTAATAGACGGTTCAAATACGTTTATAGATAACTATGCTTGTAATTAGATGAGCTAATTTAAATTGTAGACCTTTGTTAAAGAAATTAGTTTGAATCCCTACATTAAAATATTAAAGCATTCAGTTACAAATGTTTCTCTTTCAAAAATGATATTCAATTGGATATCTTATACATTATTTGATTGCAATGATCCCGTAATCATTAATAGGCGAAATTTTATCCTACTGAAAACTACTCTTGAGTGCCCTCTAACTTATATTAATACTTTCACAATAATTCATTTTAACATATAGAGTATATAAATTGCATAGTCGAATATTATCTCTGGACTGGATCGCATTAGTAAAAAAGCTCGAGTCTCCTCCCCTGTTTTTGTTATGTTTAGAGCCCATATTATAGACACACATTTAGACCAAACAATTTGTTATAAATACTACTATAACATACATTTGTAAATTTTAATATTATTAAATGATTTCGTAAGGTATTGGGTTCTTTAAATGCCATTTAGAAGTCTAGCAACTGTTTTTAATATTTGTATAGCGCGTACGTGTTCGTTTATTGTTATTTATTTGCCGATAATTTTAAAAATAATTTTAGCTCGTCATAACAAAAACGTTATGCAATGTGTGAAACTTGTGCAGGGTGATTCTTTTAACGCTCTACACTAGCTTACTCAAAAACTACTTCGATTTTTACAAAAAATATTCGTAATTAATTGTGTGTATGAAATACTAACTTATTATATAATCCTTTTTTTTTTTTTTTATATCTCTAATATGTAAAATAAAATAATGTATTTAACTACTTTACTTATAATGTTATAAGTTATGATTTTAATATTAATAAATTTTGTACATTTTTTGTACATTCTGAGAAAATCATGTTTTCAATTTCAAAACGTTATACATTTTGCCTGTACGCCTAAACTTTCGGTGGTCGTTACTCTCGTCTAATCTGTTTTTTCCCTGGTTCGAGCGCATAAAAGATACCAATACCTACGCCAATACAAATAATTTGATACCAAAATCTCATTTTCAAAAAAAATTTACATTGATCATTTTTCCCTGCAGCCTTTCAAAAATTTTGTTTTTTTAAGTTTCAGAGGCACCTATTCTGGTCAGTGTTATCCGGAAAAAAAATGGAACGCAATCCTTTGTACTATTGCCAGAACGCTGAACGGACAACTGCCAACAATATAATTTTTTATTTCTCGTTTTTAATGGTAATTTTAGAATTAGTACACATACTTACTGATTGACTGTTCCAATTATTAGGTATACTTAAATATTATATTAAATAATATTTATAGTGTAATTTTTTTAGTAGATACATAAATAAATACAAAACGCTAGTTGTGGGTATTAGAAGTTTAGGATTGCAGGGAGGTGTTTCTTGGTTTTTTAACATTTGCTTTAATCTTAACCTATATAATGCATTTTATGCACTACGAATATTTCGGTTAAACTGTCTTAAACAATTAATATTTATACTTCTTCTTAATTATAGGTAACACTAAAAGCCCTTTCCTTAATTCAGTATTTAACAGGTATAAACGGATGTGTTTTTTGAAATAAAAAAAAAAATGTTTGTATACTAGGTTTAAAACATAATTAAAACGTTAAAAATAGTGTGTACAAGATCAACTTTTATATTCAAAATCATATTAAAAACAAATAAATTGTTAAAAAATATGGTTTCATCAAGAACGTAGAATGTGATTTTATTTTATACACATTAAAACTTAAGTAATAGTTGTTTCCTATGTACGTTTAATATTTTTTTTAAATAAAAATAAAGTATGTAAAATTGAATGTCGACGACATAGAATTTTAGAACGCTGTACTTAATACATTTGTAATTTAAATACAGTTCAAAAACAAAATTATCAAAAGATCTTCCACCCCTTTTAAAAAAGGTTAAAATTGAAAAAACGGGTACTGAACGCATTTCAATTTTTATTACTCGAAGATTATTTCATTTTTATCATTTTATAATTATTTAAATGGAAATGTTTTTTACTTTAAAAATCATAAACTGTTTTAAAGATTCTTTTTGGTTCAGAAAAGGATTTGTTTTTATTTCTATTAATTTTTTTAAATGTTCCTTTAAGATATTCGATATTGCCCTTTGGATTCTAGCAATTTAGTTTTAATATTTTTATAGTGTATACGTGTTCATTTGTAAGTACTAGGTACAGTCGTTTTTTTTTAAATAATTTTATTTCAAGTTGCTACATTAAAAAACGTTGTAGATTATAGGACACTTGTGTACATAAAACTAATACAGGTTATCATTTTTTCGTGAACCACTCACATAATCTCATAGGATTTAATAAGGAATTAAATGTATTTTATAAGTTCTATAATAGTTTAAAGCTTAGGATGCTATAATATTAGCTATGACTGATACTTTTTCGAAATATATAAGGTCATATGCTGTTAAGAAAGACAATGCTATAAAAATATTAAATCGCATAACTATTGATTTTATACCTATAAAAGGCATTCCCAAATGCATTTTAACTGATAACGATGCTCATTGTAGGTCCAAAATTTGGTCGAAACGTTTGAACGAATTAAATATTTAAACACTACTTACGGCGGTATATAATCCACAGGGTAATGTGTTAGAGCGGGTGAATAGAGAGATAGGGAGGATGCTGAGGACGTATTGTTATGAAAAACATACCAAGTATCCTAATAAGTTAAACAAAATAGAAAATCGGTTTAACCGTAGTACATCTGACACAACGGAAAAATCGCTCTGAGAGGATTTAAAAAAGAAACCACCGGCTAGACCTATTAGGGATTTATTAAAATTTCCACTGACGGATATACAGTTAATCAATACTGAAGAAACAAAACGTCTTCTCCGGTATCAAGACAGATATTTCTACAGAGGGGAAGAGAGTTTAGTTTTAGAGGGGAAGTGCGCCACTACGCCTTTCTTCCTTCTCTAAAATTCAAAATAGTTATCGAAACCTAACTATCGACCAGTCAACATTTTAAGTACAATATTCTCAATCTTTTTCTTCAAATCTAACAACATTTAATATATATATATGTGATCCTCGTCCCGCCCTATAGTGCACCATTACCACTACGTCTCCCTCTTCACTTTACTGCCTATTTTAGTTTTGCTTTTGTTATAAAACTTTTTCAACAGGTATTTAGCTATAAAGAAAATACAATATTACATTTTTGTAATCACAAATGTTTTAAATTTAACACGTCCTTATTATAGTCATAAAACAAATATCAGACTAAATGACGACGTGTACTGGACGATTGGTTAACTATGGACCAGACAGTAACTTATAGAAGTTGTTAGACTTTTTTTAATAATTTTATAGTTATTAGTTGGGTCAAATTAAATATATTTTTGAAAAATATAACCACATCCTTTATATGTTAAAACTGTTAAGACTTAAGAATTTTAAACGGTAACGTATATATTTTATTAATATTTTAAATTAAGAAATAAATACTGACATTTTGACTGGTCGATAACCAGTTTTGGATGTTTAGTTTTCAAGTTATTTCATTTTAAAAGCGATGACGGGTGGTGAAAGGCGGTTGAGTAATGCGCGCAGATAAAAAACATCTATACTTTCCACCTTTCTTCCCGTACTAAATTTAAAACTAATTATCCAAAACTGGTTATCAACCAATCAAAGTATTCAGCAAACTATTCTTAATTCAAAAAGTTAATCAAATATATACGTTACTGTTAAAAAAAAAACGCAAGTTTATAAGATTTTAATATATAAGGGACCATGTTATAATATTAAAAAATTAATTAAATTTATCCCAACTAATAACTAAAAAATTAAAAAAAAAAAAAGTCTATTATCAAGTTATTGACAGGTCAACAGTTAACCAATCACCCAGTACACATCTACTTCTCTATTGTCTCCAGTCTATCTCCCTCATACCTTCAAATCGCCTACGTATCACAACCATGTGTATGTTTTTATACATTTCTTTCTTGATCCGGTTTTAGGGTACACATAACCTATTGTCTGTGTTTTTACAGGTGATTTTATTAAAAATTTAATATATTTTATTGGATGAATATTCAAATAACGCCTATAGCAGTTTGAAAAAAATATATCAAAACATCTGTGTGAAAAAACCTAAATAGGTTGAGTGATTCGAGAATATTGTGAACATATAATTTTTATAAAACCTTTTTATTTTTTAACGTTGTATCAAGAATTTTTAAAGTATACTTTTTAATTAATTTTGGGTACAAGGCGCCTTTTAACGATGTATGTATTTTTACTATTACAGATTCTCATCACATTGTTTATTTAAAAGTGATGCTATCACTATAAGTTGTAATAATTCATGTATATCTGTCACCCTTCTATGTACTTGGTGTCTCAACCCGTTTTTAAAAAATTGAAATTTGCACTAAACATTGATAGCAACTCCTTCATATTAATTTTTGTAATCACTTTCAGAAGTAATAATTCATATAGAAATAATAAAGAAAATTAACGACTTACATCAGATGGTTTACCCTGTATAATGCGTTTGTGTTCAATTATTATTCACAAGGACGGCCGTTGTTCTTTTTCTAAACAGTATAAACTTAAGTCGTTACATTTGAAAACGTGGGGACGGGGAGGTCACAGGTCTACAGGAATTATTATTGAAATGGTTGATAAAATCACTTTCAAGTAAACGCTTTGTTGCTAATTCATAAACACTGCACCTCATTTTAATTCTTTCTTACAATGCTGGTTTATACTGTGCTTGGTTTGAAAATACTAACTACTGTTTCGCATCGATGCGTTTTTATTGCTGTAATAATTCCTGTAAACCTGTGACTTCCCGTCCCACTCTGCTCCATCCCAACTATGCCCCACCCCGTTTTGTTGGCTTTTTTTTTTTTTTGGTAAAACCATAGTGACCCAAATAACACATGATCAATCAGTCCTGTTAAATTTAGTTGGAACGGTCGATGATTTATTTTTCAATCGTTTGTACTCCATAATTTAAATTTTAGATATAATAGGATGATAAACAAACGGTCTACCGTGCATCGGAAATCTTATAAAAAGATTCAAGACTGTGCCGTTTTACGTAAATATTATATTTAAATGCAAGTACAGAATCTATTCGAAAGAATTCTAGCAAGGGACAATTAAAAAAAAAAAGCGTCACGGTCGTGTGCACAATATGGGATTAAGTAGTATATTAAGTATGCTTATTAAGTAGTATATTAAGTTGTATGCAAAACATGATCGGGTTACTACAGGACATTGTCTCGCTCGGTTATGACACGAGATAGCGGCGACGACCGTCCACCACAATAGTTATTTTAAGATTTAAGGTGGTTCTGATAAATTATACAAAATCTTCGAAAAACGCAGTTTACCGAGCAGTTTAACTTTTTCAACTTTTACCCCACCCCCTCTCCCCACATAGTGCCAAAAGTACCAACTAGATGAAATTCGTGATTTATAGAGTTGCTATTCGAAGGAATTGGTCCAGTATTAAATAAGTTACAGTGTATACAGACACAAAAAAGACCACATGGTAAACCCAATAGCATCGAAGCTAAAAATATGCCTAAAAATAACAAAAATACATTTTTTATCACGGTATTGTAATTAGGTACAATTTTTTTTATCAATAATGGTATTTCTACTAAAACGGATTTTTTTTTTTTGCTTATATACGTGATTTACAGTGTGGGGAAAATGGTTTCGACCGTTCTTGAAGCTTAAAAAAAAATGTAACAAAAAAAAAAATAAAACATTTAAAAAAAAGTAAGATAGGTAATAAAAAACGTGGTGCTTATAGCGCAAATGAGTATATATTAATTTTTAAAAAAAATACTCACTAGAACAAAAGTTATTTCATTTGTCGAATCATTGTGGAACACTCTGTATATAAACACACATATATAATCAAGACTGTATTTGTACATGACATACTACATACATGCAATTATTTAATAGCAGATAATACAATAGACAAACACTTAAATCAAAATAAATAATCATTGACAATGGTTTCAACTTCCTCCACAGTAAACTTGCAGTCTGAAAGTATAAAATATTATAAATTTTCTAATAAAACCAATCGTGCCAATTTAACAGCAAACAAGTATTTGTGTTACACTTGCAATACAAGTGTAAAACACTTTCTATATCGAATGTTTGTAATTTCAGAACAATATTGTAATACTAAATAGTACATTTTTAGTAAAATTTATAATTTTTTATTTTAAAAATAAAAATAAGAATAATAATAATTTTGTTAAAATATACATTTTAATAAATTCATAACTTAATTATTAAAATGTGTTTTCAATAATTTTTTAATATTTCAGTCAAAACATTTAATGAATATATTTCTACTGGTATTACCTGATATTGCCTTTTTCAGTTTATCAACACCGGAGAATGTTGTAGTTGTGCCCGTTTCCGTTATAACATTTTTAATTACACCCTTTAATTCTTTAATTTCTATACCATCTGGCTTTTCGTGTTGGTCGAATAGTTCTGTTATTATTTTCTGTCGTTGTCACAATAAGAATAGACATTAATACATAATTACAACTAACAAACAAAGCTGATTTTCTGTTAGCGAAATAAAAACATCTCACTATCAGACATATTGTAGGCTTTTTATTTTTTTGTAAATCAATTTCATTGTAATTAAATTTTTTTTTTATATTACAATAAAAAAATAGGAAAGGTAACAATTTTCTTCCTTTCTAAGGTAAACACTGGAAGAAATCGTTCAAGAATGGTACTTCCATTCATTTGTTTGAAATGTAAAAAATAATTAACTAAAAAAAAACATTATTTTATTGGCCGGATGTTTATATTTATTATACACATCCGATTTATATGAAAAAAAAAAATACTGTTTAAAAAGATAAAAACAATCCTTCGATACGAACATGGGTATGGTAAAAACATATGATTATTTTTTTTAAACAATAATTTAATTTTGTATACAATAGCACGCAATCTCAGTATTGTTCATTTATCATAAACACTAAGTACTGGTTATGCTTACAAGGTTAAATCAAACAATATTTTACACAGATTATATTATTGTCTAATAATACGGTTCTATAGTTTCTTATCTACCTTCAAATTCGGATCTTGGAAAGCTAAAAATTCTTTGGCGATTCTTTCAACCTCATCCGCTGTGAAGTTACGGTCTGAAATTACAAAACAGTATACATTTTTCTATAAACAAATTTAGACAATTTAGAACAATAATATCTTACACCTCTGACACATTTTTATCTTAAATTATTGTAACAGACTAATAATGTGATAATAAGTTATACATTATTAGTAAAATTTGTAACATTTTTTAAATAAACTCACAATTTTTAAATTTATTTTGTACACCAATAAAAATGGTCACCTGTCTTTTTTTATTTTTTTCTGTTTTACAAGTTGTGTATTTTGGTTTAATAACCTGATATAAATTACAGTTATACAAATAATACACTTGAATATTAAAATGTTTTTTCGATATTTTTCAAGAATTAACTCCATAAATGTATTGTATATTATTTTATTGTTTATTACTTGATCCAGTCATTCGCAATTCTTCAAGACTGGGAAATTCTTCCGGTAGCCCGGTTACTTTTGCTACTTCTTTAATGACACCTTTTACATCGTTAAAGTTCATGTCATCTGGCTTTTCAAATTTGTTGACTATTTTTCTAATAATTTGCTGTTGTTTTTAGAAAAAGAATCGGACATTAAAATGTAAATATTAGTAGTTTCCTTGGTGAAAAACCATTTTTTAATTAGAAGGCTTAAATATGACTTGAGTTTTTTTTAACGTAAAAACATTACGATGTATTTAAAGCGTTATTTTTTATGTCAACAAAAAAAAGGAAAATAAATATTGTTTATGTTAGTTTTCCCCTCTGGATCAACCACCAGAAGGAATCGTTTAATCATTTTAGTTTCCTTTAAAGATAAAAAATCGTAAACTAAAACATTTACTAAGAAAACCGTATCGTTTTACCGGTTAAAAGTATATATTTTAAAAAGTATTAGTTTTAGGAGATTGCATTAGGTCGGTTTTTTGACGTACTAGACCAAAAAATGTATTTCGTTTCATTGCAAGAAACTGAAATTTTCAAATGAAAATCAGCTGTCTGCATAACTTAGTAAAGTAGCCAGAGAACTTGAATCTCTTTACCGAATTGAAATTGGACCATTTTACGTAGTCGATATTTTGTCTGGCTTTTTGGTCTACAGTAAATCAAAAAGGCTTTAACTCATAGAAAAAATTATTTCAATTAAAAATAACACCTTGAAGCTTATACAAATTACCGGGTAAATCAATTGGCACGGTCGAATTTTATTAAAACATATTTTTTCTTAAATATTGCCTATACAAAACTCCTTAAAAACATACCGCTTGCAATCGAAAAAAAACGATATTGTACAAGATCCAAAAAGATAAAAAAAAAAAATAGAGAAACAAACTAAAAGTGCATACATTTTTTAAAAATACAAACCCTTCGGTACTACTATCGGTATGGTACAAAACATAAAATTAATTTTCTAAATAATTCGTTACATTTTTTACACAACATTAGAATTTTCATTATGTTTAATGATCTTAAATACTCGCAACTTGCTATACTTACAAGATTAAACCTAATCTATTTTACATAGAAGAATTAAACGTTTTTTATATTTTGAGTATCCCCACTTAAACAGCCTAGTGATAGTATAATAATTGTAATATAGTTTTTTTTTTACCGTTAATTTCGGGTCTTGAAATACTACAAATTCATGGGCAATTCTTTTAACTTCGTCCTTTGTGAATTTACGGTCTGTAAGTACAAAATATTATAAATTTTCTAAAAAATAAATTTAGGCAAATTTACCGACAAAGGAATGATTGAGAATAATAATATTAACTTAAACTTAATTAATGTTTTTTTTTTTAAATTATTATAATTCAAGAATAATGGTGTAAATAATATTGAATAGTATTGAACTATACAATTTTAGTAAAATGTATAAATTAAGGAAAAAATCTCACAATATGCTAATTTTTTTTGATCATCATCATAAAAAGATCCCTTATTCTTACATTTTTTAATTGTATTTACAAGTTGTTATTCCTTATCTTATAAAAATAAAACAGCTTCGATAAACTTGTTAATTAAAACTTCTATTATACATAACATTTTATTCAACAAATTCATTGAATATTTTTATATTGTTTAATACTTGGCGCCTCCGTTTGTAGTTCATCAAGACAGGGTGATATGCATTTGAATATGCCCGTTTTATCCGCTACTTCTTTAATTACATCTTTTACACTTTCAAAGTCTATGCTAGTTGTCCTTTTATATTTTTTGATAGTGTTGCTAATCATTTCCTATTGTTTGCATAATAAGAATTAGACATTTAAATGTATATTACATTTTACATAAAAACTGATTTAAGCGAAACAAAAATGCCCAACTCTTAGACATAATACGTGCATTTATCAGCGCGATAACATTAATTTCATAGTAGTGAAAGGACTTTATTTTTTTATTAGAATAAAACATTATTATTTAATTTTTTCCTTCCAGGAGAAAAAACTGGTAAATATCGTTCAGGAATGGTTCTTTTATTAATTTTTTTTTTTTTTTTTGGAAAAATAATTTACAAAGAAAATCAAATCGCTTTTTTGTTGACAGGTATAAATATTTTGGTTTAAGATTAAAAACGATAATGGCAGAGATTACCGTAATCGATATAAATATTGTATTTCATGACAATACTGTGCTTAAAAATATATTTTGAAACTTAAAAGATATTTACTTAAATATTTAAATTGAGAACAATGTAATACAAATGTTGACTAGAAATTTCAAGTTTATGACAGGATGAAAGGTGGAGTGTAGTATTATTTTTATCTCCGCACACTTATCAGGCGTACTTCAGACGCCCTTCCCGTCTTAACTTTTAAAATATTATAACTTAAAAATAGATGTCCAAAACTGGTTGTCGACTATCAAAATTGTTAGTATGTTATTCTCAATTAAAAAAGTTTACTAAATTGTATGCGTTTTTATTTTAAGTTTGAAACGTTTTTATAAAAGTAAACTAAGTTTGAAGAGGGTGTAAACTAAAAAATTGAGAAAAATTAAGATCACAGTGAATTATTAATCTAATGATTATTATTTATTAATCACAAATTCTAGGAGAAATGACAGTTGGATTATTGCAAATATCCACACAAACTATCTAATAAGAATTTTCTCTGAAATATAGTAGGTATTATAGTTTTTTATTTACCATTATTTTCGGATCTTGGGAAGGTAAATATTCTTGAACGATGAGTTCAACTTCGTCGATTGTAAATGTACTATCATCTGAAAATACAAAATAACATTTTTTTAATTTTTTGTCAAATATCTTTTGCTTCTTAATAAATAGCGCTTTCCGTTCCACACAGAAAAGATTTGATCGCCAAGGAGTTGAAAATAATAACGTGTTACACTTGCAAAACATTTTTAATTCAAATATTTTTGTGAATTATAAATAATTATGTAACGTCAAATTATACACATTGAGTAAAATGATTAAATGAAATGCGATTAGATTTTGCTAAATTCTTTTTTACCATAAAAAAGTCCCATGTTTTTAAAATTTTTTTACTGGTCCCGAGTTATGATTTTTTAATTAAAAAACAGTTATAATTATTCACAGCTATACAAATGACGAACTTGAACACTAAAATTACTTTGCAATTGTAGTGGAACTTTTTGTTTAACATATTTATTGAATATTTATCTATTGTTAGTTACCTTTATATTGCATTATCAATTGTTCAAGACTGGGAGGTTCTCTGGACGTGCCTGATTTCTTTACTATGTCATCGATTATTCGTTTTAAACTACCAACGTTTACCACATTTTTATGATTTGTATGCTGTACGAATGCGTTTCTTATCAGTTCCTATTGTTTCAGAACAAAAAAAAAAAAAGATAAATCGTATACTCTGATATTTTACACATAAAACTGAGCCATATTTAGCAAAATCAAATTGTCAAACTACCAGACATACGTATTATATGTCTTGCGTTTTTTTTTGTTTCAGCATAATAACATTTTATTAGGAAAAATACACTTTGAAAATGAAATTTTCGGTTAAAACATTACATTGACTTTCTAAACAACATTTTACATTTTGTATATAGTTAAATAAGAATCTGAGCCATTTTCATATTATCATAAATACTAAGCACTTATCATACTTACAAGTTCTTCTGGGATAGGATTACCACCATGACAATGCAAAAAGTACAACGCCACGCAGACAAATAATAATATGATATTTTTCGAATATATTTTGCTTTTTCAAACAAAAATCTTGAATACACAATATTTTTTGTTTTAATTTTGAAATAAAAACTACATTGCTTTATATGTAAATTATAACGATAATATTATGTATATAACATCATAAGACAAACCATGATTTATATTAATTCACTACAATAATTTTGTAATTGTGATACAAAACACTTGTATAAGAATGTATTCTTTTTTGTAATTTGTCATCGAAATAAATGACAGAAACATACAATATAAACTGTATAAAAAATATGACAGATTTTTATCAAAAAAAACATGTACCAATCGACACTGCTATTGTTTAAAACAATTTTAATTCTATTAAACATTTTTTTTTAAATTGGTTATAATGTTTGATTATAAGTGCAGGTGAGATATTTAGTAAATAATAATTTAAGGACAAAGTAACAAGTGTGACTTCTTAAATTAATATGGGGATCCCCTAACTAACATACTAAAAATCAAGAACCTCAGAATTTTCTAATAATCATAAATACTAAGTGATTGTCATACTTAATTGTCTAAGAAAATAATTTACATTTTGTAAATGTATATAACATAAAAATATTATCTAATTTGTATTAATCATAAATACAAAGTACTTAACATACTAAAAGATTAAATTAAACCTTTTTTACTTATGAGAATAGTGAGTTAAAATATTGCGAATATCCCCACACAAAAAATCTAACGAGCCTTTTATCTGTAATATAGTATTATTGTTTTTTATTTACCGTTATTGTCGGATCTTGGGTAATTAAATATTCTTTGACGAGCCATTCAACATCGGCCAATGTAAATTTACTGTCTGAAAGTAAAAAATATCGTACATTTTTTAAATAACTAAAACAATCAAAATTTGACCGCAAAAGAATTGAAAATAACAACGTGTTACACATGCAAAGCTATTTAATTCAAATAATAAATTATACATTTTGTTTTGTACACCATCAAAAAAAGGTCCCATGTTTTTTTTTCTATTCTTTTTTACCATAAAAAAAATCCCATGTTTTTAAAATTTTTTTACTGGTCCCGAGTTATAATTTTTTAATTAAAAAACAATTATAATTATTCACGGCTATACAAATGACGAACTTGATTACTAAAATTACTTTGCAATTGTAGTGGAACATTTTGTTTAACATATTTATTGAATATTTTTCTATTGTTAATTACCTTTAAGTTGCATTATCAATTGTTCAAGACTGGGAGGTTCTCTGGTCGTGCCCGATTTCTCTGCTACGTCGTCGATTATTTTTTTTAGAACTCCAACGTCTATTCGTCGATATTGAAGATTGGTATGTTGTACGAATGCGTTCCTTATCATTTCCTACATTTTTCGGAAAAGGCTTTAAAATTTATATTATAATTTACACTTAAAACTCGGCCTTTTTTAGAGAAATAAAAATGTCAAATATAATGTTATTGGGAATTAAAGCTTTAATTGATATTAAAAATTGTTTATAATTCAATAAAAACTACAAAAAAAAAAAAAACTCTTCGTTAGAAACTTTCTAAATAATATAATTAGGGTTTGTATATAATTACAAGAATCTAAGCAATTTCTAATAATCATAAATACTAAGTGCTCGTCATTCTTACAAGTTCTTCTGGAGTAGGATTACCACCATGGCAATGCAAAAAATACAACGCCACGCAGAAAAACAATATTATGATATTTTCCGAATACATTTTACTTCTTCAACCAACTAACTTAAGTTCAGAATATTTGATTATTAGTTTTAAAAAAAATACTTCATTGAAACACCCGTACCTACATTGCTTTATGTATTATAAAAATAATATTATGTACATAACATACAGACAAGCTACGATTTATTGTATTCATTTCTTTTTGTTATACACATTTTTGTTCAAATAAAAGATGTATTAAATCAGTATAAACTTAATAAGAAACATAGTAAATTGCTTACACAAAAAAAAAAACAATGGTCTAATCGGCACTGCTATTATTTAGCTGTTAAAAATATTTCAAAATCGGTTATTTATTAGTAATGACTAATGAAACTTATTTTAGAATTTTCTTTATTTTGCATTTGCGTGAGCGCTTGTTAATATAACTTGATATATTCAATTTCAAAGGTTATAATTAATTATAGGGCGAAAATATTATCGCATTAGACATACTATTTCAGTATTTGTGCCCAAAAATTTTTTTTCAGCTGCAAAGCAGTGTCTGTATATACTGTAACTTTTTTAATACTGGACCAATTCCGTCGAGTAGCAACTCTATAAATCACAAATTTCATCTAGTTGGTACTTTGGGGGGGGGGGGATATAAGTAGAAAAAGTTTACTTCTTCACAGTCGAAATTTGAAAAAACCTATACAAGTTTGTAAGTTAGAAATTTTACTGGCTATAATTTCAATAAAAAGTGTCGAATCGAGCTGAAATTTATAAGAAATATTTATTTGGACCTGTAACCTCTATGCTTTGATTCCATTATGCCTATAATGTACTGTACTAGTCCTATCGGATAAAACCACTTTCAAATTAACGCTTTGAAGCTTATTTGTAAATACAGCCCTTCAATTAAATACTTTCTAACTTTGCTGGTTTACCCTGTGCTTGGTTTGGACTGTACTGGCTTGAAACTACTGTTCTGTCTGGATCTGAATTGGTTCATGTAAAGATTATCCGACAAGAAGATTACTAGATCAGACTTTAATTCATATGAATAAATAAATTAAATAAATAATAAATTCCCTCTCAGTTATCATAATTTCCTAACACCCACAACCACCCAATTTCGATGTGTCTATTTAGTTTTAGTGCTTGGTGGATTAAACATTTCCTGGTGTCATCCGTAACAAAGCATTTTAAAAACATGTTTGAAAATTATATTTTGAAATTAGGTAGTAGGTAATGTAATAATCTAATGATTATTTCACCAACATACTGAAATATCAAGGTGTTGGTATCATTTGTTTTGTATACTTGTGCCACACAATGCATAACGTTTTTGTTACAACTTGAGTCAAAACTGTTTTTAAAATTACTAGCAAATAATAAATGGTTGAAAACCGTGCTGCAACGAACGCCAAGCCAAAGTCGTCAGACTTTGGTACACATCATCAACATTGGAAAATATATTATTTACTAAAAAATAACAGTAAGAGAGTGTGTGTCTTGAAAATGACGAACAACAGAAATAAGAACGTCGTAAACAACTTTTGTCTACAGCGAAATCGCACGGCTCAATATTTACAGTGTTGAAACCGTTACATTCCTGAAGTATATTTTCTTATAGAAAGTCTTGCGATAATTCAAAAAGATACAACACTCCCATTTCATTATAAAATCGACATAAGTATTAAGTACTGTTATCGAATAGTTTCAAAACAGTTTTTACTTCCAAAACTAATAGTTAAATATTTTGAATCCAAGTATATTGTTTAAAAATTTGAAATGTATTTAAAAACTGTCATACTGTTTTTTTGCGTGGAATTATACTTTTTACAATGTCACTGTAATCCAGAACAACTTGTATGTATAATAAGCGCTTAGTAATTACGATTTATAGAAACTACAGCGATTCTCGTTTACCCGTGTGCAAAATGTATTATGCATTTTGCTTGGATAATTTATTTAACGCTTTAACTTTATCAAGTGATATTTACACTTATAAACATTACATAATAACAATTAGAAAAAATGTGGTAACTACAGTGAAATTAATGTTTTTACTCTGAAAAACCCGTTTTTGATTTTTACGAGTAAATTTAAATACACAATTTAATGTCTAATTTTTATTCTGAAAACAATAGGCAACTATTAATACCATTTTCTGGGATTATGCAAGATCCAAGGGCTGTGATAATGACTGGTCGTGCATAAACTTAAAAGGTGTAGCCGATATCATTGAATTAGTAGCAAGGCGACTCCACAGACCTTATGAACCTTTCCGTTTTGAAGACCTGAAAGAGATAGGATCACGTAATAAACAATAGACAAATATCCAATAAACTAATAATATGTAAATTATTCAAAAAATACTGAAAAAATATTTTAATTATCAAGTCATTTATTACATTTAATCAGTTATACATTTAATTTGCCATTTATATAGGTGTAGATTATTTTATTAAATTAAAACCAAAAAAAAATATTAGAAATTAGCGGAATTTTTTATGATGATGAAAAATTTATTTTAGCAAAATGTTAGATACAAAAATAATTTTTTTTAACATTATAAATTTTGATAAAACAGTCTACTATAATATCACATTATTATTGTTATCATTTTACGCATTATTATTTTCAATTCTTCGTGTTAAAATGTTTGTCCTATTTGGTTAATAAAAATCTGCAATATTTTGAAATTTCAGTTTATAGATACTCAGTGGAGGATTGTAAAAGATATGTCAAAAAACTCTTAAATTGTACATTCTTAAATCAGGCAATGGAGGTAAATAAAAAAAAGATAACAATGCCCGTTAAGTTGTATGTGAAGGACACTAGAAATATTCCAAAATTCTACTGTTTTATTTCAAATAGATTGAAATTAATTTTGAAATATTCTTGATGAATTGTAAAAAATGTAAATTATTGTTTGGAGAATTAATGTTATGCTTGAACATTTTCTGAGTCAATTTTTTTTTAAATTTTATTGAAAAACTCTAATGTCTAGTTTTTATTTAAAAAAAACAATAGCACGTGATCGATGACCTGTATAATGACTCTTCGTGTCAACAACAAGATGGAATATCCTTTGTTGATTTAAAAACACTACTTGGACGTATACCAGCGGGTTATAATGATAGCCCGCCCAAATTTTCATATCTCGAAGATGCGAAAACGGCAGTACCGTACAAACTGTCGAGATCGGGTAATTAACAATATAATTATAATCAATAAATGTCTTGAATAAACTGATCAAAATTATTGAAAAAACATTTTAGTTATGGAGTTTTGTCATTTGTATTTCTGGAAATAATATTTATTTTTTAAATTAAAAATCATAATTCTCGGACCAGACAAA